GTATTTCGGAATCATATCGAGCAGAAAAATCTCATACTCGTCGACATTTATCTGAGTAAATGTTTTTTTTTTTTATTTAAATAATTTGAGCTTGTGAACAAAAAAGTTTATGGCAAACAACGTCCCATAAATCTTGGATACAAGCAACATTCTTTAATAGTATCACGACGAAGTATCCACCCTATAAAGCGCTCGACACCTAAACCAAAGCCACCATGTTCTGTTGTACCATATTTTCGTTGATCCGTGTACCAATAATAATGTGCAGGATCAATACCTATTAGATAATTGTAAATAATTGTGTAAGTGTATTATATATGCATAATGAACTATTATTATAAACTATTATTATATGTTTTTTTTTTTTTTTTTTTTCTTTAAACATCATATGTACACTACATATCCTACCTTCACGTTTATATCCCTCTAAGAGCTCTTGCTATAAATATTGAGATGAATTAGAATTCATATTTTTTATTATCACGAATTAGAAATGAATATATAATGAATATACCATGTCCGAGATCCTCATGCTAGCACCCACTATTTCGCCAACACCAGGAACTAATACATCTACACTTTCTGTTAGTCTACGGTCATCTTTACAACGACTCATATAAAAACTTTTAATTTCAGCGGGAAAACGACAAAGCAAAATTGGTTTATTAATTTGATCAGTCATTGCACGTTCAGGTGCTTCTGGAATATCTTCTCCAAATTCATAAAAACTACCATCTTCTTTTTTAATATCGTGATCTTTTAGGTATTGTATTGCATCTTTATAATCTAGACGCATAAAAGGACGCTCCGGTGGTTTAAAATCTGGATTAAGTTGGTAAATCATATCTCGAGTTTGTTTATGGGAAAGAACACGGTCAATAGTGTCACAAATCAGATCTTCTAACGTGTTTAGCAAATCTTCAAATGAAATGAACGCCATTTCGCCTTCTAAGTGAGAGTACCTGTCAAATTAGCTATTAAATTATTATCACATTCGTAAACCATTCCCAAAAATTATATGAATAAAAAAAAAAAACATTTACTCAGATAAATGTCGACGAGTATGAGATTTTTCTGCTCGATATGATTCCGAAATAC